CAAAAACAGCCTACTCCCTGCCACATGCCCCACCATTCTCTCACCCAGCCTCCTTCACTGTAACCAGGGATAACGGGAGGGGGGGGGGGTGTGGTCTGGAAAGTCCTCAGGGAGGCGCATTGGTATGGAGGCGTTGATCTTGGTCCAATTGTGGAAGAGGAGGTAGTATGCTGCTCCCGTTCCGTCTGGTCCATGCCTCGTCCCCCTTGCCGAACCACCTTGGCATTGTGTCACCCCTTATGCATCTCTCTGCAGTTTGTCTTACTCTGTCTAATGCTACCTGTTGTGCACTGAAAATGAGCGTCCGCGGAAAATGAGCAATGCCAATGGCGAAAACCAGATTGCAACATTCCATGGAATCCAGATAACTTCAAGCAGACGCTGAAAGCAGGATGCTCCGACAAATTGCACCAAATAAGACTGAATCAGTAATGAAATCACATGGATGATAATGAAAGCACCCATCTCGCCTCCAATCTCACGTGTCCATAGTTGCAATCCTACGTGGCGCTCGGCACCCGGACTACAGACAGCCTACTCGTACGACCGGGTCTCTGATATCAACAACAGGCCAGCTTTGAAGATCTTCACCGGATGAATCGTGAAGACTCCAACAGAGCGGCCCGCTTCCTCTTCACCAGGTACATGCCCCTGTGCACCGCTCACCCCTCGTCTTTCCCCAATGCAGCCCCTCTGCACCCAAGGACCACCGCTGCACCTCTCCCCTGGCTAAGCAGGCATGTGGCCCGGCTATGGCCGCCGCTTCTACTAGCTGCGCCCACACAGCTTCTCCCTCGTGCACCCCACCAGCACCCTTCTTCCCTCTATCCGACTCTCCTCCAGCAAGCGAGCGCTGCCGTGCCCATCCAGCCAGAATGTCCCGAATGAGTGTGCAGCTCTTCCTTTTGTTCTGGACGGCTGCTCACGGCCTGCCTGGACCGGTGCCCTTCTGTCCCAGTAGCTGTGCCCAGGGCCCTTCTAGAATATGCTTGGGGCTCAACTGGAAGTGCCCTGGGCCTCAGCATCTTTGTGGAGCCCCAGCATCTTCAACCAACCGGACTGCTGGTTGGCTGCAGATGCTGCGTGCAACAACCAACCCGCAGCCCTGTTCATTCTCACATCGGCCTGTGCTCAGGCCTAGGCGCATTTTTGCAGGCCCGCCTTCACCTAGGGCCGGCGAGGGGCTAAAATCCTCACAGTTGCCTTCATTGAGCTGTATTTGGTGCAACTTTTAGTCCACTTACAGCGATAATGATCGGGCGTTCTATTCGGGTGAAGACGTTAGCCTTCAGATGCGTTATAGGGTAGGTGGCTGCATGGTTGCTGTTTTTCGGATCCTTGCCAGGACCCGGACATGACTGATGAGAGGCCCAGAGGCCAAACCACACTCCTCTCTGCTTCTCTCCTCCGAGCCTTCTGGCCGATGAATTGGCAGCCCACGGGGAAGGGGCGGCGACATAGGTCTATGCAGGTTAGTAAGCATTCTTGTAGCGAGGAATTTACCTCTCGAGGGGGTCCTTCTCCCCCGTCGATTGCTGCGGTGGCCACGCCTCGCGGCCAGCAAAGTGCGTTGCCAAAACTCCGGAAACATCAGCCATCATTCCATCCTAACACGCGTGCAGAACAAGAATCGGCAAGCAATGTGTCCCACGTCTGTGTCGTTTAGCAGGCTGTGCCCACACACACATCCATCTGCTTAACGACGCGCTGTGTCGTTCAGCAGACTGTGCCCGCACATCCATGTGCTTAACAGCACATGCTTGCATCAAAGAAGGAATGAACAAGTAAAGGAATTAATGAACACGCACTCCCCTAGCCACGATATCAGCGCCTAGCTGCACGCAGTCAAACACAGAAAGTCGACATCCATCGCCAGATATATGCTGGAAAGGCCTTCAAACCAGAGTTGCGCGCTGCAGTTGGCAGTTTTGAACTTGTCGTCTTCCGACCAGGTTGACTGGTAGTAGATCAGTTGGGAGGCGCCAGTCCAGGGGGGTGTCGGCCTCCACACTACACCGGCCCATGTTGTTTTGTTTTTCCTCCTCTTCTTCTTCTTCTTCTTCGTCTTCTTCTCCACTGCAGTTTTTTTGAAGATAAGTTTTTTCATTTATGACGCTCTTGCGGATCTCTTTTTCATTAGCTTTGCAGGCCTTGAAATTCTGCTTCTGTACAGGCCTGACCTGCCCCTAATTCAGTTTAGTATTGCTCAAGTTGCTGTCGACGAAGCTTTTGCCCCAGCTTCAGCTTCATCATGGCATCATGCAAATTTTGCTTTCTTTATTTTCATCACCGAAATCTTCAGAGAATGAAGACCTGAGCGGTGAGTAGCATTGTCGCCTTTGTATTCCCTCTAACAAAACGCGGCCAAAGGTGTTCCCTCTAATTTTAAGATTAGAGTGTGCATCCAGCTCAGCTTTTCTCGATTTATGCGTGTCATCCTTGCACAGTGGCAATGGTAACCTTCTATGTATCGTTCCAGTCTTAACGGATGTCCCGAAGGACATTGTGCATCCAGCTATATCGGGAAAACAGTCGTTTACGTTTTACTCGCATGGATCAATCCCAAGGGAAGTCCTGTGTCGATCGGATAAATAACAGTGAGCTAGATGATGACTACGGAAAAAAAACTAGGTAGAAGATGACAGGAGACACCCCCCTCTCTGAAGCTTCTCCCCTTACTTAGTGTTTTACTAATCAACAAGGTTACAAGTTACCGTGCGGGATCACTTTTTAATTGTCAGAATGGTGAAATCTTCGGTGAATCGAGATCTGAACCGTGAAGTAAGGTCGCCTTTGAATCCCCTACCCCCTCATCCAACCCGATTGACGAGAGACATCCCCCGTCCGAAGCAACTACTTGATCAGTTTTCAGAACCCCTTCCGTCCCCGGCCCCGCTAAACAGCCGGAAACATCGTTTTCGTAGTTCCCTCAGGCATACAGGGTGACCCCGCCTTCCATTTTTTTCGAAAACACAGCCGATGGCTGCTGCCGACTGGTCGGTTGCGGATTGGTCGGCGGTCGCCTTTGGCCATTGCCTGATATCCTACCCTGCTTTAAACCTTGAAAGTTCCAACCCCTTCTACAGTAGAGTGTTCACTTTATTATCCATGAACCTTACCAACATGTTCAGGAATAAGCATTCAGCCCGTACGACGTTCATGGACACAAGGCCTGACCAGGAGCATTGCTGCTGAAATCACTCTGACTTCCCTGCTCTGAAAGGAGAACAGCTTAGAGGAAGGAATCCCATGCACAGTTAAACTGCCAGTACACAGCCCCAGCCTTGCAGATTTTTTTTCGTCGCCTACTCCGAAAATTTTGCGGCTCGGGCCCACTGGACCACAATGGCTGGCGGCGCTGGCCAAAAAGGAAAAGAAGAAGGGCGGAAAAACAAAACAGGAAGAAGAAGAAGAAGAAGGGAACGAAGAAAAGAAAAAGAAAAGAAAGGAAAAGAAGTGCGCCGCTCACGGTTCGGCAAAGCTTGGCGCACAGTGCAGCGCCTCCAGGCCCGGGTGTACTGGTGGCTTGACACTGTTGACAGTATCTGGGCCTGACCCGGCACGGGCCACAGGAATCTCAGCCCCAGCGCTGGTGCCCCATTAGCTGTACTCGACATCATCCGTACACACCAGGACCCCTAAACAAAACAGACGTCAGCTCCGTAACCCACCCGGCGCATCAGGGATGAGTATGAGAGAAGGCACGGGCCATAGGAATCTGACCCCCAGCGCAGGCACTTTGAGTCTGACTACCAGCCAATGACACTACCTTCGTCCCCCGAATATAACGTAAGGTCATTTAGCTGTATTTGAGGCATCTTTTAGTCTAGATACAGCTATAATGACCGTACGTTGTATTCGGGGGAAGAAGGTAGGTTGGAACAGGAGACGATGCCTGTGCTATGAAACACCCATGTGACACCAGGAGTGTCACTGCGTTAAGCACTGCGGTACCTCACTCACCTTGTGCTCTGCAATAGAGCTCATGGGAATCTCATCCACAACGATCAGTCTGTGGGCCGCTTGGTGAGGATTCCGTGGCATAAAAGGAGGGTTTGTTACACCTGTAGATCCGCTCGAAAAACTAGAAAAACGTAGTACGATCTAACTTCCACGGTTCCACCATAAAGGAAAATCACCCATCTATGGATCCGGGTGGCCGGGCCGGAGCCAATGAAAAGAGTAAGAGTCCCAAACTAGACCATTTGCGAATATATCCAGAAAAGAATAAACCAGAAGCTCGCTTGTGTGTGTGTGTGTGTGTAGAGAGAGAGAGAGAGGTTGTTGTAGGAATCTACTGAAGAGGACGTCCACAGATAGTGATGGGAGGTAGAAGGGCAGTGCCCATTGATGGTGTATAGCATTGAGTACAAGGTGCTCTAGGGATCATGGTTGATGAGGTGTGTGTGGTTGAGAATTATTTGTGAAACTACCATGGAAGTGTTTTTCTTCAGCATGTAGCCACAGTTGATGACATATCATGACTCAATTGGCATGAAATGGGCATTACAGTGGACACACGTGCCGAGTTGCCGATGTCCTTTTCTTTTTTTCTTGTTTTTGGCTTCCCCCCCCTCCCTTTCTTTGAAGGGGCAGATAGCCCCCCAGGATGTAAAGTTTTGCTGAACGCATGATCTGATGACCATCGGTTCTATGCTTCTGCTGTAGTACTGTTTACTATTCAGTGTTCACACACGATGGAGGTATTATTATTTGTGCATGTTATGCAGAGGAACCATGTCTATCTTCTCTCGAATAGTCCGTATCATTACGACTC